TAATTGTGGGGGGAAATGAAGAATGACAACTGAAATGATTTAGTGCGAAGCAAAGATGCCAATACCGCGAATATTGATAAAACATACTCGATTAGTGAGCAATCATTTTAAAAGGAGACTGCGTTGATGTATTTTCCCCGAATACCTGATAAGTTGAAATATGTCTACATAGTCCGAAAATGCTTATGTTATAAAACATTAAAAAAAAAACAGTATTATCTTAATTCCAAATTTCATCTCGAAAACAGAAAACGAAAGAAAAAACGACCAAAAACAAGTAAACAACAGAGACGAGAACAACCAAGAGGTAACGTTTACGTAACATTGCACACATGGGAACGTATGCTCACCTATTACAGTGTTAACAACAAATGATAACAACTTTACGTCACGAGAAATAATCGCTAATTATAAAATCTTAACAACTTACAATACATGTGATTTGATATGGAGATGTTGTCGGATGGTGGTTCATCCACTTGTATCTCGATCCAAGGGTTCAAATCCTAACCCGGCGCTAACTTTTTTTGGCAATACATTAGTCCACATTTTCCGCTACTCTCCATCCAGTTGTAAATGGGTACCCGGTATACCGGGCCGCTAAATATTTTGCTGGCACGATGACCGAGATAATGCTGAAGCGCAAGGAGCGTCACGACGTGGCGGACATGTGCGCTAGGTATTCAATAAGTCACGGTCATCAATGTGCATTTCATTGCGTACTTTTCTACGGAGCTACATGCTCATATAGACCACTCTTGCAGCGATGCGTTATTTTTTTATTTTGTTAGAACAAACGCTAATCAATCCAATGGAGTAGAATTAGCGCATGCGCTAGTAAATTAACATTTATCGCAATGTTTTTGCTGCTCATTTCGCACTTATATTTATACAAATAACGAATCTTATACGACGCTTTACAATCCGTCACCACATTACATTTTATTTCCTCAATCATGATTTTTTTTAAAGATGACTTTATTTAAGGGAAAACTCGAAACAATTTGTATTATATTAAGTTATCATCTAATAAAATATTTCTTCATGTTTACAACAAAAATTCAATACGGCGTTCGCCTGATGCAAAACAAATACTGGATTTACTATCCATTTTTTATTTCAGAACTAAAGCGATTATTTCGATTTCTAAAGCTCGTAATTTCATTTACTGAGAAAATCGAATAGTACACACAGAGGAAGGATTACACCGCGATATAGTTTCATTTTATTTCTCGTTTCCGTTCCCAGGCCAACACAGAACATGATATATCAGAGAAATATATACAGCAATGACTGCAATTCCTTTTCAATACTGTGAGATCACGCTTTATTTTATTTTATTTTCCTTTCTATTCCCGCTTGATTTCCTGAGCGAAAGCACTGAACAGGATAATAATCAGGTAGACGGAAATTTTCGCCAAGCAATCAAGGACAGCTTGCGAGAAACTGAAAAGCAAATCTGCCTCAATGCTCATTGTTAGTTTGTACTTGGACTTTATCATAGCGAATCTATTCATTTTCTTATCACCGTTAGTCTGATGCCATTCTCCTTCCAACAACATGTACGTATGATCGTCTCATACATGCATTTCAATATAATTTTTGAACGCGAAAAAGATGCACCTCATCAAGATGTGTTCATACGCACAGCAAATGTGTAAGATGAAAACCACCTTTAAATGAACATCCATGTAATAGCATGCACATCACTCGCTTGTCACTTTGGTAAATCGCAAGATAATGATGCAAATAATACTGCTAATATCATGGTGACTTATTTTATAGGGCACATGTCCATCACGCCGAGACGCCTCTGGCACTCCAATATTATAACACCCCGGTCATAGCTGGCAGCCAGAGGCTTAGCGCTCTGGCATATCGAGTACCCATTTACTACACATGGGTAGAGAGTGGCTAACGTGTATTAATGTCTTGACACGAGACGTCAGTGCGGGTTAGGAGTCGAACCCGCAACATTTGGATTGAGAGTCAAGTTAATGAACCACCAAAAAACGAAATTTCCACAATTATCCCTCATTATTACACCGTCATCAGTATGCTCAAGTACACTGGACAATAATGATCCTCAACCTAATAGACAGTTGAAGGGAATGGCAGTCAGTCTCCATTTATAATCAGTAGGTCATATTTCGATGTCACACAAATTTGTGGAAATACCATTGATGGGTGAACAACTCTCGCGCACAGCAAACCCATGATCCTATCAAGAGATACTACCTTATATGTCGGAGAATCTTTGTGTGAGGGAAAAGTAAGATAATGCAGAGTAATATATAATACATTTTGGTCATAAAACAAAACAAAACAATCCCGGGGACCAACAACACGTGCAATCGCGTTAAACACCTGAAGAAAGCAGAATTTCCCCACGAGAGCCCAATAATAATGTTTGAAATGGAATCAGTGTCAGCATCGCCCTGTAAATGACACTTTTTACTGATAACTAAGAAAAGCAGAATATCCTGAGAAAACATACGATTCATAATCTGACATAGCTTTCTCTGTTGACTAAATGACAACAAGAACAACACAAAAACAAAACAAAACAAACTAAAAGAACAAACGAACAAACAAAGATTTTTACTAAGAAAAAACATTTCAAATGAGTCCTCTGCATAAACGCGAGACAGAACTATTTATGGAAAGGAAATTATTATTCGTTCAAAGAGATGAAATCTAGTTGCACACTTTTTTATTTTGTTAATATAAAGCGTTCGATGTGTACTGAAAAAGTGTATCCAAGAAGATTAATCTGCATCGAAAAGAACACATAAACACCTCGGAGAAGAGTGCACTCTTCGTCCTAGATTTTGTGCATCGTAGAAACTTCTGCTCTACTAGTCGGATTAAGAGTTCAGAAGTGAATCAGATTTGAAATTCAGATTCAGTTCAAAACATTGTTTGATTTTTGTAAAAACCCTTATCCATAATTTATATGAGAAATCGAATCGATATTAGTGATTCATTGGAGCAGAAAAGAGGCGACCTGCCCGGAAAACCGACGTTAGTGGTGTTTGGAACGCGAAAACAAAACACTTATCGTACACTCAGCCAAAAGAAATAGTTGACTCTCTTCATTGTTCAGTTTTGTTTATAGCAATCGGTAATAGCATGTAAGACATTATTTTTCAACAATGAAAACAAAGAATGAGAAATAAAAAAGAAAGATTGAACTTTGGATAGCCAGATGTCCATTTGTATGTGATTTTCTTTCATACACTCATTTATTAATAAATGGGTATGCTAATGTATTCATGAATGGTGTTGTTCCTATCGCATATCATCGTAAATATGATTAAATTATGTCTATTATGATGTGTGAAGGATACGTTTATATTATACACATATTTGAAAATCTCACCAATAAATAGTGTAACCTGTTTTTGTTTATTTGATGAAAGCATATTGATAAAGTAAAACACGTTAACAAGAAAAACGAAAACAGTGAATAAGCACGAAAGCTCCTGAGAAAATGTTTTAAGCAGTATGTTCGAATTATTTTCGTATCATGAAAGTCATATGTAAAGCATACATTGCATGATTAAACCAGTTATTTAGGCATTTTGGACAAACCAAACAAACGGACGACTTATCGAAACAAAACTTTCCTATCTTCAAAAATAGATTTATTTCGTTCACCAGACTCTCGAGGTTTGGGGAGGTGGATTATCATGAATGGAAAAATGAGCAGATCAGACTAAAACTGTTAATGTCTTCGATGTTAATATAACGCCATCACTTTATTTCTCTATTTTTATTGTCACCTTGCTTCATTTTTAGAAGTTCCTTAAATTCAGCCGTTATAATGTCAGCTGCCTGCAAAACAAAATCAATATTGACAAGTCGATTATTAACGCCCAACTTTCAAAGACCGCGAGTTGTTCAGCCGAAAACGATTAAAAATCTCGTACGCAAAATTGCACAATCGGATTCGTTCAAATCGAATACGTACCATAATTTGTTTTTCCTAAACGTCTGAGAAGCGAGGAGTAAATTTTACGCTTGTTGTATGTATTCTCGACTATGTTTCGATAGTACTTCTAATATGATTTTAAGCGTTTATTTGATTTATGTTTCAATGGTTGTCGGTAGGTGTTCATAAATAGCATTTTACTCACACTTTCAATCTGCTGGTTTCTCTTTCGAAATATCATAATAGCTTTTGGTTAGTTCAGGCCTTATATGCAGTCAACATATTAATGACCTAATTTGTACACTTTCTTAAATACGTTTTACAAAATATATTTTAAGCAAACGCGTTTGCTTCAGTGTTATGAAATATAATGAAATGTATTTTATTTTTACTTGACTTATTAAATACCCTGCACGTAATTTCCAAATGCTTAAAACGCAAAGTAAGTACGTACAAGGATAGTTGTATAGTAATCTTGGTCGACGTCATTATCCTCATGTTGAAATGAGCACATTTTATTCTAAGAAATACAAATCATTATCGTGATGAATAAAAACCAAAGTGTAACTTACCACTTTTGAGCGATCAACCGAAAAACCAGAAAACTTGGGTAAGTTTCCTTTAGTCCACAACCCAACGCTGTTCCGATTTCCTTGTCACAAATGTGCCTTCATGGACAGTATATTTGTATATGATGCCCGCGATCGTAAAAGTGGTAGTTCTCATGAAACATAAAAAATAAAGGAACAAAATAGGCTTTCTTCCAACAAGAGAGATAAGTATATGCGTGGTTGCGTTATCTGCCTATGCAAGAGTTTGGAATGTCGTTTAATAGGAATGGTCAAATGATAGTGCGGTGGCGCTCATTTATAAGGTGATGATAATGGCGTTGTCGTGTTGCGCATTAACGGCCTTGCACGTGCGTTCGTTTGAAAAGGACCGTTTCTGTGCGCAACGACGCGGCGACGTTGTGGGTGCTGAGAAGACAATGTGTTGCGGTTAGCTTGGTGTTCTTTAGTGCTTCTCCAACATCCCCCGTTGCTAGGTACGTGCTTAGCCAATAGCAATGGGTATCGCGACGGATGAAAGTTTTAACGGTGGAGAGGTAAGAGAGAAAAAGAGACTCTAAAATGTTCGAGAAGCCGGGGAGTGAGAGAAAGAGATTTGGAGAGAGCAAAGAAGAGACGAACAAATAAAAATAAACAATGGATAAGAAAGAGAGAGAGAGAGAGAGAGAGGGAAGTGTACATATATATATATACATATACATATAGATAAAGTTCATGTCGTATTAATACAATAAACACAAACTGTGCTCAAATTAAAGAAGGGGGGGGGGGTCGGCGAAAGGCATTTGAATAAAAAGAGACACGATGGAATAGCGATGTCTAGAATGCAACTAGAAATTCGAAAGATATGAAAAGATAGAAAGGTTTATCAAAGAGTAAATGCACTAGAAAGCGGCATACATGAGTAGAACGGAAGAGCACTAAAGCGTTCATAACACATAAAGTATATGATAAACTTTAATATGCCAATTAATGGCGTTGTTTTGTTTCGCAATAGCACAAATAAGAACGTGAACAAATCATTAAATGCCTAATTGTGTTGCAACATACAAATTCCATATCAAATGATAGAAAATAATCACATTCCGAAAAAAAGAACTAGCATATACTATGTATACTCTCGGCGATTCACGGTATGTTGTTTGTATAACCAAGTATTACTCAAGTGTATTGAGGAATTGCAAAAAGTAAGTGTCTGCAAATGGACTCTCATCTTATTTCATGTTTTTTTCCTTCTAATTCAATAATAAGGAAAGCTATCGGCTTGAAGCAAACAAAAGATTTTTGATTCATTTGTTTGTTTTAATTAGTAAAACATTTATATTACGCATGTAATACGTAATCAGATTCACATGAATACATATCCTGCAAGGTTATTTTAATATGCTAATACAAGAATGAAGTATGTATGACATACGAAGAATACTTAAAAGAATAGATACATTTTTAAAATAACAAAATACATACCAGAGAGAATATACAGATAATATAATCCAATTGTATCATCCTGTAAGAAATGCAAGAATCATGAAGAGATATTGAAAAATAAATAGTATTAGTATAAGTTTTATTAGCGTATTTTTTTTCTTTTTCCTGTTCTTATTTGTTTGGTTTAATTCTTAGTATTCGTCTTCTTCTCCTCCTCCTCCTCCTCCTCCTCCTCTATTCCTCTTCTTTGTTTGGAATTGCGGAAAGTCTCGCTTCTAAAGCGTAATATATTAGTTTTCTGTAGGGAAACAAGTCCCTCACTTTATTGCTTAAGACATGAACACTAAAAGTAAGCTACTTTAGGTATGTGTGCATGTGTGTACAAGCTAAAGGTTACTACCGAGCAAGACTCTCTATAGTTGGGACTACATGATGAACATGATTATAAAGCGAGCAGATTTGACATCTTTTTTAAGTGTATTCATCTTAAGGCCACTGATCCAAAAAAATCCCCCTTTGTGCAGATACCATGAAGCTGTATCGAAAACTGAAATAATGCACATTATCAGTTAAAAACTGATCTCATCTCCTCCAGAATTTGAGCCTAGGCTACCTTTAAACGATGAGTGTTGATTCACCTTATCGTTATTGGTATTGACATTCGGAGTCATAATGAATGCCTTGGTAGCTTGAAAGCGTACGTCACACATAATGGTTTGTCACCTTTTAATCTCCTCCACGCGAATACCAGTGGCGAAACAAGGGCTTTGTAACATTCGGGGGGGGGGGGGGATGGCTGAGAGCATCAAGTTCAGTGAAACGTCGCAATTGGAACCAATTTATATAATCCAGTACACATAATCTTGTAAAAGCCTTGTATAAAGTATTTATATCATGATTATGCTAGACGGATAATAATAATACAAATATTATGGATATAAAAAGCGATTATACGAAATACCGTCTCTAAGCGCTTTACATATATTACTCCCCCGGTTCGTGGGACTCCGAGGAGGTATTATTTCTTTGTGATCACCTTGAGGGCATATAGCGATTACTTACACAAGGGCTTTCGTCATCTTACCAGGTCACAATTTCCTACTGGGTATCAAGTGGCAAATGTAGATTAATACCTTTCCACAGGACATTAGTGTCGTGTCGGGGATCGAACCCACGACATTTTATTTCAAGTCAAGTGCTTAAACAACTCGACTACGACATCTACTGACTCAAAATGAATACAATCGAGTGACATCCACCACACCCCCTCCCCATCTCCCCTTTCCCCTTTCCCCCGCTCTCTGTCTTCGCCGCTTAAAATAGTAAACCTTTCGATCATTCTTGAGAAAAGACAGCTTCACGCAACGGCATGAACTATACCGTAACATCTGCCCCATACCGCAATTGTGTTGCATGCACATTTTATATGAAATCTACAACAAGCACAACTTATTTCCTCAAATAAAGCAAAGCTTTGATGTAGACTTGATCTGGCATTGAAATAGTTTATATATTTATAGTCGTATAAATCATGATTTTATAGAAAACTTTCAATTCAATTTCGTTTAATTATAAACAACAAAAAAATAATCAGTTAGCCATAAGACATAAGTAGATATTCGTCATGACAATAGACCATACACATTGTGGCAATAAAAATAGAATAATGTTAACATGAAAGGCTAGTGTATCCATGCAACATCTTTAAAAAGAAATACGGATTGTGTATTGCCCTAAGAAGATCCATTTGGAATGCCAAATAGTGTATTTATAGCACAGACACCCAGACTTCCAATCCATTTTCTTTATAAATTGTGTTAGTATTTTTTACAACACGGGTTCTGGAATTTAAGAGTAATCCGATTGGTCAATTGACATCACGTGGGCGTGCAATAGTTGTTCCCATCGTGGAGAAAAAAACATCAAAAATTGAAAACACACGCTCGATACCTGCCGATATCGCTTCCGCGTAATTCAGCCAAATTGAATATGTGCATAATTTTCAATATCTAGATCTAGAATATTCTAGGCCTAGATATAACTTAGATCTAAATATAATATCTATATACTCTGGGTCTTATTGTAAGAATGTATTGCCGACCTGTCTTATAAACAAATAATGCACTGTTTCGCTCGTGTGTTAGGGCAGTTCCAGTGCACTAAGGTTAGTCAGCGCATTATCACCTATGTGCACTGCCCCAACTTCGTGCACAGGTCTTGCCCTAACACACTCGCAACGGCATTATTTGTATAATAATATGCAATTACGTAATGTTAACATATATCCAAAGGGGACATGTAAGGCTACAGAAATCGCGCAAGGGTTACTGGGCGAATGTTTTTGCTTTTTCCTTCTTAGAAAGTGCCCTAACAGTCTATATATATCTTGTTATTAATATATCTTATCATATAATATGGATGTATTATCTGATTAGTTCAAGGAAGTAATTAAGCAAGTACATGTCTATTAATACATGCATTTTTTTTTTTAAAGAAAATGAAAAAATATTTTCCCCTAGATCTATCAAGATTCTCCCCATTAATTACGAATCATTATAAAGGTTGGAGGTCGAAGGCCAAAGGCAATGGCTAACCACGACATCATAATAATCCATTCAGCCTGTTTACACGAACATTAACGTAATTTTGAAAAATAAATGTATTTTTTGTTATCCCAAATCCCATCTCACTACTTTTCTCTCGAATAGTAGGACTACGCCCTATTAACTGAAAGTATACTAACATTGGTATTTATTACGTACTATATTATATATAGTAGGGCGCTTTTTGTTTTTCCTGAAACTATACTAAGATTTCAGAAAATATATATTTGTTTATCCATACAGACATTCTCAACATGTTGAAGGAAAATCAGCCACCTCCCAGACATGCACACACACGCTCACGCACACGCACACGCACGCACGCACACACACACTCACAAAATAAAAATATAAATGACTGCCATGTATCAGAAATGGCATGTGAGGCTACGATTTGGCGCCTTCATTATATCGCATGATACCTCGCGGTAAGGTCTTGAGAGGCACAAGTGTGTACCCTTTTGAATCCACGGGGCACTGCAAGATAAATACAAATACCTTCTCTTCGGTTGTAATACTCTCAACCTCCGGTCGAAAAATAAGAGCATAGGGGAGAACAAATTATATAAAGCTCGTAGAGATGATGTTTTGATATTAAGCTCTCTATATATCCGGGTGGTTTGTTGTTGTTGTTGTTTTAGTAGTATTACTAATAGTCTCATAACTACTACTGCTACTACTACTTCTACTAATGCTACTACTATTATCATTATTACTATAAAACATTATTAGTAGTAGTTACTATTCTTTGAATTGTTGGGGTTGTTGTTATGAATATTTGTATTATTTTTTTTAAATCATTATTATCATAATTATTATTATTTTATTGTTGTTGTTGATGCTGTTATTTTTGTCACTCCGATGAATCGAAAAATCAGCACGTACGAAATACAATAAAATAATCTAAATTATATGACTGACAGAACAGAGAAAAAAGACAATAAAAACATGTAGTTAAGGGGGATGGATACATTTTGATTAGAAAAATATTTATTATACCCGGCAAGGTCGCTTTCCTTATTAACATTCCATCGATCGTGTTTTTCATGAATGATACATGATGACAATGAATAATTATAAAGATTCATAATGATGATATATATATAGCTCTCTCTCTCTCTCTCTCTCTCTCTCTCTCTAGAAGGGGAGAGAAGTCAAGCCAGGGACGAAGTTGTGGGACCAAGGTTAATATAGTGACAGGTTCGCCATAGTCAATTAATATAAATACCTGTTCTTTTTATCTTTCCTTTTACTTTTCGGTTTTTAAGTACTGAATTGAATGATTTGTAGCTGAATATTGTAATAAAATGTATATAGACATAGTTTTTTCAGTGCAAACATTTTAATTTATCGAGTCTTTGGTATGTAATCATTCCAATATACATTTTTTTATTTGATTTTTATATCCGCATTTTTCCCAAATATAATATAACTGAATAACAAGGAACAAATAAATGTAAGGTATAATACAACATAAACAAACAATAATTTCTTCATGTCAAAAT